GTTTCGCATGCCAGTTTTGCAGCCTCAAAGCGCCATGTTGTGATTTTTGTCCACAGAAAGGGAGGCCCATTGTGCAAGTCAGCCGACCGAGTGAAGCTGTTCCTTCGTGGCCAGCGACAGCTTCACCCTCTAAGGTCGAACCGAAGGCGGCGAGCTAGCAGCTAGCCGCAGCGAGCGTGCCTCAGCTTCTAAGATGGTCGACCTGGTTTGGTGGTCGAACGATGCTTCTTTCAGTAACCATTAAATCAATAGGTTGTTTGCGCGAGCATGCGACTGCCGCCGCGCGGTCGAAGTCGGCGTCCGCCTTTCTTGGTCCGTCCCCGGGGGACTGAACAGCAGGTGCAGCGGAAGGAACAGCCGCAGTATTGCCTCGTGAACCGGCCGTGAGAGCCGCGGCATGGCCTTGGCCCTTTGGGTCAAAGCAGAAATCTGGCGAACCTCAGCTGAAGGTTCCTTCATCTAAAACCCTGAAGCATACCGATTGTGTGTAGGCCTGTCTGAGTAAAGAACAAAGTTCCTTGGTGTTCAGGTACTCATCAAATCCTACTATACTACTCTTGGTCCGTGGTCCCCCTCCCCCTACTCTTGAGGCCCTGACATGGAACAAACATTATTTGTTCAATCAAGCCGATCTGCCTCAAACACCACCGATGATTCTCCACCGACTCATGGCAATTTCATGACTCAGAACCAACTCATGCAAGGCACCATGTATTGACAAAAAAACAGAACCTCCATAGCCAAAGGACTCTGTCTATTGTTCCATCTTCTTCCATCTATTTGTCACATCATGTCTCATCACTTATATTAATTGAGTGTGTTTCTTTCTCACCCCCAAACCTATCACTTCAGACTGCCACACCTTCCAAGGGGTCACCAGACTTCACTTCCACCTCAGTGGACACCCGAGCACCGGCGGGTCTTTGGGCGTGATTTCAAAGAACCTCCGACCTCCGACCCACCGAGACCCACCGCTGAGCTCCCGCTGAGCTCCCGCTCGCATGGTATTGGCATCGCAAGGTTCCACTCGAACGCCCACCTCCGCCTCGCCGCGCTGGGGGGTCCTCGGTCATGTCTTCCAGGCCCGTTCCTGTGGGCGAAGCGGAGCTCGGCGAGCGACCGCGAGGAGCTCGGCGAGGTGCGAGGAGCTCTGTAAGAGGGGTTTGGGGGAGGTGGACACCAAGGAAAGGGAGCTGGGTCTTGGGAAGTCTCTTTAGGACGGCATGCTATGGCATGCTCTAAGCTTGTTGCTGGTGTCCAACCTACCAAAAGATGAAGAAAGATCGCAAAGTATGACTGGGAAGGTCAGCAAGCTCGGTGTTGCATCTGTATGTCAATTTGTCGAATAAACACCGTGGAGACTAGACTCCCAAACTGACTTTGATGGTTCAGGACCACTTGTTGGATGGCTTTCTGACTCCCAGCAGTGCCAGCCCAAAAGCAAGTCTGTTCTAATCATATCCAATCGAACTCCCCAGCATATTATGCTCTTGTACACTCCGGCTCGCCAACATGATGGCATCATTCTCGCATGTCTCTTTGCACACAGAATACCAAGCGTCTTTGTCTTCCCACTTCCACACGACAGCTACGGAGTGAACCAACACCATCAGGCAAGCACTCGCACTATGCCTAAAAAGACCCTTTGGCACACCCAACGAAAACAATAGCTGGTCGGTGGCTTCAACGCACTTGACAGATATAGTTAGTGGGTTCAATCATCCCAAGTAAGGGTTGAAACATGTTGACACACACACACACATGCACAAATATATCCGGTCATCTCCGAAACCACTGTACCAGCACCCAGATCTGTCCTCCTCCAAAGGAGGCCAAGAATGCCGCCAGTGCTGCCATGTCTTGCCGGGCCGGTGGCCTCGGAGACATGGATGTTCCGGATCGCGAGCTCTGCGGCGCCAAGCGGCGAAGGCGCGGAGGCCAGGCGTCGATATGTCCTTTGTTGGCCTCCAACCAGCGGGACCATGGTAAAAGAAGGTAGCCATCGAAGATGCATGATGCACCCATAGATATAGGGGCAGGGAAACCCATGGAGACTCCCAACTAGTTTGTTTTGGTCCCATCTATTTCCCTTCTTCCAGGAGGTCGCCTGGGAGGGAAGGCCTCCCCTCGAGTTTTTGTTGCCACCATCCCCATCGTCCGAGGGGCGCAGGCTCCAGTCCTCGCTGCTCATCGGCACACAACCTGCAGAGTTGGCAGCGAACCCATCAGTGGAAGCATTGGAGTGGCACCGAAGGCCCCTGTGGGCAGGAAGCTAGTAGGTTGGAGTCATCGCTCTTAGGTTGGAGGCCACCGCTCGTAGGTTGGTTGGAAGGGTTGGAGAGAAAAGGTGTAAAAAAGACTGACTATGACTCTCTATATAGATGTCTGTGGACATTTATGTGGAAGAATAGTGTCTAAGTACTAGTCTAGGTGATAACACAGTCTTTGATGGCTGCATCAAGTGATACTGGAGCAATTTATGTGTAGCCGTTTGGAATCTGGCAAACATGCAATTGTCTGCTTGCGACTACTTCACGCGACCAGACTAAGCCTAGCTTTGCTGATCAAACAACATAGCCTTAATGATTCAGGATGCAATAAATGCAAAAGGAGGTGAGACATCAGCAAAGTTAGCTGCTCCCGGAGAGATCTTGCCAGGTCCAAGCACCTTTGGATTGCATGCGCCACAATAATGTTGACAACCCCTCATTGCTGCATAGTACTCAAAGTCCAACCGTCCATTTTGCTAGCCCAAAAGAGTACGATTGACAATCCTCTTGCTTCTGTGAGCTATACAAAACCGGAGACGTGTTCGTTGAAGATCAGCAGGACAAACATGGACCAACCCTGCTGGGACCTCTGGGGAATTCCTGACGCCGTGAACAGGCCGAACACATGGGACCAGGCTTGGACTCCAAATGGAAAACCAAGACACCCAATTGGCCGGTGAGTCCCATCAATGTCCAATTCATCGGAGCGTCCTTCGGTCTTGACGAAGCACCTGTCCGTCGACCGGTCTGTCCGTCGACCACGGTCCGTCGCTGTCCGTCGGTCGGGAGCGCACCAGGAGGTCAGCGGGAGCGGCCGGTTCATGCCATCGGGGTCCTCAACGCCGCGAAGCGCACGTCGCTCTGCAGGGTGACCAGCAGGTCACAGATGGTTGCGGGGTGCTGGATCCATGGTCACCATGGTCACCGAGTCACCTCTCCATCCCTTTTTGATACATACGTTTTTTGGATGGTTTTGGTCATGAGGGTTGGACCAAGGAATTTTCACAAGTGTAGAACGCCCCCCAAAAAAAAACTCTGTGGCTGGGAGAAGGGCATGAATTGGGATGCATTGGGTATCATGGGGTCCATCAAAGGGTGTGCGTGCGTGAAGAGGTGCGTTAGAAGGAACGAGCAACAATGACCGGTGGTTGCAAGTAAGTGCAACATGACCAGTGTATGAAATCATGCCACTTGGTGCCACTGGTTCTACCAATCTGTCATAGTCTCCGCACATATCTGAGCTCACCTGGAAAGTCCGACCACGGGGCCTAGATGGCACAAGGCCCTGCCTTGATCAAGTGGACCAAACCTTCAGCCAAACCCTCAAGTTCAGATGGCAAACTGAAGGTGTCAACCTGTTTAAGTTCAAACCATTGAAGTGTTCGATCTTATAGGGTTCAAATGGCAAACTCAACCTGTTTAAGTTCAAACTTAGGTGTCAACCTATTGAAGAACACTCAAGGTGTCAACCTGTTTGACGCTCTTCGCCCACCAACCACCGTCCGAACCCACGGTCCCGCATGTTCCGCCGGTCGGACGTGGTCGGGTTGTGACTCCTCGGAGACGTGGCTCTTCGAGGAGCTCGAGGACATCAAGTTGGTCACCAAGGGCTCCAGCCTCTCGAAGAATCGATCAGCTGCCCGGGCTGCCCGGGCTTAGCTGGGGTGGGTGGGCCCGTCAGAGCGACCCCCCCGACTAAAGGGATGACCTTTGGTTGGGGTTGGGGTGAAATTGGAATCCATGCTGTGAATGGCTCCCAGAAAGGATACATACACCATCTCTTTATATCGCTACTGGTGTAAAGGACTAAAGGACAAATACAAATACCCAAGCACTCCATGGCACTAGAATAGCTTTTCCAATCTTTGCCACCCCATTGTTCCACCAGGAGCTGGCCAGTCGCATGGGTCGTATCAGGAAATAGAGTGCCATGCAACTGGGCTGTCCGTAGGTCCTTGGTCCTTCAGTGGTTGAGTGAAAACGTTCCTTCAAAACCAAAAGGACCAAGGATGGACTAAGGGTCTGGTTGAGTACCCCTTAGTACAGACCGTCAAGCCGCCCCACCTCGACCGGCAGGTCACACAGCCCACGCGATGCTTCAAGGCTGCCGCGACGGGCTCCTCGGCGACGGGCCCAGCGAAGGGCGGGGGGAGTGAAGATGGTTGAGAATTGGGCTTGATGATGAGTGACATGAGGACATCTAGTGACAAATATAACCTGACCACTGACCTGACCTGCTTTTGGGAGGGGGGTGATGGTGAATTAACTTTCACTGATGGATTTTGAGGAAGTGCAGTAGATGGCAGTAGTATGCACCAATATCAGGTGGACGTGCCCTGGTAGACGTTTGCTTAAGGTTGTATTTTGACCTCCTTCAGTCATATCTGGTGAAGTGCTCCATCCAACTGAAGCAACATTTAGGATCAAGCGACGTGACAATGATGAGTTGGGAAGTTCCCATCTAACTTGGACATGTGATCCAAGTCACAGCAAATAGGCGTATGAACACTTTTTTTGTGTGAAGGCCGTCTTTGGACAGAATTTATCGTATGGACATGTTAATTAACGAATTAGCGTATTTAGCCGTATGGACAACAAAACAATACCGTACAAAACCGTACCCATATTAAAACCAAATGTTATCAACATTTTATTGACAAACACCCAAACAATTGTATAGTAAAACCCAATCAAACCCAATATTCGGAGGAATTCCAGCCGTATTTGTCCATTTGACAAAAAAGGCCGGATGCACGGATTTTTTTGTGCGGACGTGTTTGAACAAAAGCATGCTCATTTGGATTCCCTGGTATATATAATCAATGAATAACCAAGTCTTTTGACGCGTTCCATGGACACTGCAAGGCGGCTCCACAGGACTGCTTCCAAGATTTCAAGCACACAATAACCAGTCCATCTCGGTCACTTCTTGGGACACAGTTGGACTCCTCAAGTCCTGGTCCTGTCCCCGCCCACGCTCCGCACGTGGTCGCTCCGTCGGGCCCAGGACGACCGGAGCGTCCGCGGTGGCGTCACACGGTCCAAGACGGAGGTCCAACGGGGATGTCCGCGGGCCAAAAGGTTGCTCACCGCTCACCTCACGAAACAGCATCCTCATCCATGTAGGCCGTGCGAATGTTGCGCGTCTTCAAGAAGAGTGGCAAGGATGGGTCGTACATTCGATGTGGCTGATTCAGAGGTTCTCCAAAGATGATGTGCCAAAGGAACATCATGTTTTGACAGACCACACGGCCCTTCATGTCCAAGTGAGCCGCCCACCTTTGGCGTTCCACCCTCCATGGGCTGGGCAAATAGAAGTAACTCTGTGGGGAGGTCACAAAGTGCAGCGCATTTTCGTAGAAGCGGCGGCTGCGCAAGTGGGCCCGGTCCCTGGAGAGAACGAAATGGGAACAGCAGTAGGTGCTGACATCCCCTGTGTTTGGGGCAATACTGCTCCCAAACAATCCTTTCCACAAAGGAGTCCTTGGGTCTGGGCAAAAATGAATTCTCTAGAGACCGAATGGGATGATAGTCGAAAACAATTGCAGAATCCATGGGTCCGTATAAAAAACATCTTCACAGCCGGTTCGGAATGAATTGAACTGGGAAAACCTCACCTCCATTCTTACCAGGAAGGTTTCATTTTGAGTCAGTCGTCCAAATTGGAGTCCAGGCGTCATGGTGTCCCGGTTCCACCGCATAGTGACCCGGTTGTTACCCAAATGGGCAAAGGGTACGCTGGCACCATGCATCAAGGCCCTCAGAGTATCATCGATGATGTTTGGCCGCCCAGCGCCGATGTGCTCCGGCATGTCAGCATGGACAAAGATCATATGCCTGGTTGGGAGGCATGAAGGCATCATGTTTGCTTTGGACAATTATACAATACAATTGTTCGAACAAGTTGAGATTTACACAAGTCTTTGCAGTGTGATTCACTTGTGGTATCAAATCAGCTGAATGCACGCTCAAGAGAAAAACATAAATAGCGCCCCACGACCCCCACCTTGGAAGCACATAATAGTAGTGGTACAAGTATCCCAAGTAGGCACTGCATTCATCTGCGCGCAGTGGCAAATCCTCCACTTCCAGCTGCTCCACTGAGCGCCACAGGGCTCTGAAGGGCACGGCGTTGGTCGCATCGACACCGGGGCACTTGGCGATGAGGACCAAGTCCACTGAGGGCATCACCTTGCGACTGAAGGAGGAGTTCATCCAGGAGAGCTCCTCGCGACCTGGAAGCAGCTCGATGATAGCATTCGGGCATCTGAGGGAAAAGCAGGATGTTAACTAACAGTAACTAACATCGATCTTCATCCAGGAGATCCTCTGGCAAATCGTTCATGTTCAAATTCTTTTGACCAACTATGACCAAAACATTGCCCAAGTCCCCCCCCAAAAAAAAACATGGAAACCGTTGAGGAGCCAAAACATCGGAGGACAGAAACACAAAACATCGAGAACGCACAAACCATGCCAGGTGACAGTAGCTCAAGACCAGGGTGACATCCGGAAACCTCCGAAATCTCAGCTGCTTCGCTTTGATCCGAGAGTTGCTTCTCAAGCGTTCGAGCCCCAGTTCTAAGGGCCAAGCATCCAGGTCTGTATCTTGACTCCGAACACGAAAGGCATGCCTTTGAGTTGCTTCGGGGCCTTTAAAGGAACACCTGCACACTTTCTCTACAACAGATTTCCCAAATTCGAGAGTTCCAACAAACATATGCCTGGAAGCTTAAACAAAAACACAATGTTCATCAGAACTGGGATGCTGCAGATTCCGCGTATAACTCAGCAGTTGTTCGGTGATGGTCTCTGGCCTCTCCAAAAATCCCCGCTCTTCGATTTGCAGTAACTGCGCTTGCAGGGCCGCCGGAGGACACAAGAGGAACCGTGCGTCATAATTGGCCAAGATCCGGGGCCAAAGCTCAATCAGGCTGGGCTTGGAGCGCCCCAAGCGGTAATACTCGAAAGCCAAGTCTTTGAACTTGGTAAAGTAGGAACTGTTGCAACCTGCAGCTTTGGGATCTCCCCCAGCTTGGCAGCAGGATTCAAAAGTATAGACCTCATCCCAGCATTCGTTATTCCCTTCAGGGCCAAATTCAGGTGCACAACAGCTTTCGAAGGTGAAACCAATGGACCAACAACTGCCGCTGCGTTCCTCCGATGTCGATTCAGAGATAGCTTTGCCGGCTTTGCTGGCCGTCACGATGCCCAGGATGAAAACAAGCATCTGGTACATAGAAACTCATCTGGAGTCAGGAAGCGACCAAAGAAAGGCTTTCAAAACAAGCGCATGCAGGAACACTACACTACAACTGTCATGGGCCCAGATTGCTGCAGCACCCATTGCACAAAAAAGATCTGTTCGACCAGTTGATACTCGCGATTCGCGTCCGGCACACCGGGTTTGATGTCTTCGCACGGGGCGTTTGGCTTCCAAATTGAAATCCAGGGAATTCGGGAATTGGATCCCACCCAGGAGCGTCCGGCATGGGTGTCAGATCTTGCCAGTATGTTGAAGCAGTGTACCCGGCTAAGACCAGCTATATAGACATCCCGACGCCGACCTGTGCGCCACGGCCGACCTGCTGGAAAACGTCTATGTGGGTCGTTCACCGAGAACGTGGAGCTGTTGGGAGCTCATGGTCCTGTTCTCTGCATGTCCTGTCCGTGAAGCTGGAGCAGGGACCCCACACCGAACGCCTATTAGCTTCATCGACGTGCCGCTAGACCCCTCTTTGTTCAAGTGTGACATTCTTGGAGCAAGGATATCAATGCCCTTCACCCGCTATCTTTGCATGTCAGGGCACTATGGCCTAGGCAATAGCAAAAAAACACAACTGCGTTGTTGCATTAGGGGTTCCTCTGCGTTGTTGCTAGGCCCTCTGCTCGCTGGACCTGAGTGACCCGAGCTGTCACATGGAGCGCCTTCCGAAGGCCTTCGTGTCCTGGCGCACGACGGAAACCGCACGTGTCCAGTCACCGCACGTGTCCAGTCACCGCGGCGTTCGAACCGCCGGAAACCGGTTCCAGCGGAAACCGGTTCCGGAGGAAGAATGCCAGCTGCGCTTGGCTGCACAAACAAGTTTGAGCAGTAAATGCCCTTGGAAAAGGTGAGATGAAATGTCTAGTTATATAGTAGTATTGAAATGTATTGAATAGTCATATATACGTGATAAAACGTGATCATATTTTCCGTGGCTGCAACTCATCAGTACATGGAAGAACAGAATTGTGTTACATTCCCCGGCCCCCCAATCACTGGGTTTTCTGAGAAGCACTGAATATCTGGCAGGAATATCTGTAAGCAGCAGGTACAGTTTCATTCTTATATAGACCCCTGGGATGGCTGGGTGACCCTTTCAGAAATGGCTTTCAGCTCACCAAAAGCCCTCCAACGCCCTTCCCGTCCAACCGCAGCGTGCTGCCTCGCACTGCGAGCACTTGGCTCAGCAGGTGTCGGGTCTGCTCCACCCTGGGTGGCCGAAACTGCGGTTGGGCTATTGTTGGCATGGCTGAAAAATCTCTGTCTCAGTGATGTGTCAGACTTAAAGCAAACGGCATAGATTGTGGTTGCTTTTTGGACCCCATGACCATCCGGAGTGGACACAATGGGGTCCCCAAAGCTCTTGTAAGCTTTCTTGAGCATTGGCATTGGCAAGAGATCATCAGGTTGAATTACAGTAAAACAACCCGAAAGAGTATGACTCAATGCGTTGGGATCACCATGCCCAAACAGGGATGGGCAAATGGACAATGAATGACAATGACATCTTCTACTTCTATAGACTCTAAACCCGTCACCCAGTCATGAACTTCCCATTGCTCGTCCACGCAAAAAATAAAAGCTTGCTTTTGGGGCCCCACAACATCACAGTGGGTGTACTTCCGAATGATCCAAGGAATTGGGGTGTCTATGCCGATCCCAGAAAACGTGGGCTTTTGGGACACCCACTATATACGTTCAATGTTTCACAACCCACGACCAATCCAATGGTGTCTCGGAACTCAATGATCACAATTATCATGAACTACCTATTGCTTCGAAAGTACCAACAAAAATGCATGATATTCTACAGTAGTTTCACAATGTTTCACAGCATATTCTACAGCATATTCGTATTAACTACAGTAGTTTCCATGGTGTCTTGGTCTCTGCGCCTGGATGGTCCGTCACGGCCATGCGGAGTGGAAAGAGGCATGAAACACCGACACGACCGGCGGTCCGGTCCGGTCGGGTGCTTTGCTTTTCGGGTTGAGGTACTACGTCATGTGGGAACTCTGCAACCTGTTTTGTCTTCTCCTCATCCTAGCTGCGCACCGAGCACACCAGAAGAAACATCATTTCAGGGAGATTTGACACTCTTGTCCTTCCTGATCATGGTAGTTTCGATTGGTATCTGATCTTTCAGATTCATCATATGAAAAAGACATGATCACCTAGTGTGACATTCTCAAAGACATTCGAATCCCAGTGCTTCCTTCACCTCTCGTCCCTCTCCACTCTTCCGGATCCAACGCCGTCGGGTCGGTCGCCCCCGACGCAGTCGGGTCGGCTTCGTTGGGATCGAAGTCCAAGACCTGACGCGGTCGGGTCGGCAGTCTGAGGCGGCCGGTCTGAGGCGGGCGTTGAGGATTCAGATCCAAAGAGACATGCCGCTATGTTCCCTTTTTTTAACTATGCCTATGAATAGAATATATAATTAATATATATATAATGTTTAATATATATGCCCACATGATCCTACATTGACCCTGTTTCAAGCACCCCAATCTGGCAAGTCTGGGGATTGGAATTCCAAAGGATCTCCAGCTGTATGACATAGATGGTCAAGAGCATCTTGGAGGTTCTTTTGGGGGGAAACTCCCGACGATAACTTTAGATCCATTCACTTTGGGATGAAACAACAGCGAGTCAAACGATTTGGGAACTCCTGGATTTCCACGCTGCGTCCATGCGAGAGGATGGTGGTTTGACCGGACCAAACCATGGGGTCCATGGGACCAGATCATGATGAGAGCGATGCCAAGTTGGGTCCATGTGGTAGTCTGCATTTAGAACTTAGAAGCACTTCAAACGTCAAACACCGTTTAGAATCCATTGAGCCTTATTGAACATATATAATATATAACCCATCCTGGGTTACCCCCTAGGTGGGATCCAACATCGCGTCTGATCTGGGTTTATGAAGCTGATCCACTACTTCAGTGGCCTGACATTAAGCTTTCCCTGTGTAACCTGCTGGACATCTGCGCACCCAGTTGATCCATGAGGACTGGTGACTGGCTAAATTGAGCAAGTGGTTCACATCCGCCAGGATGATGGATGACTCAAATGCTGAGATGAAGTCATACTGTTTGCTAAATCACTGCTCCTCTTTTGAATCTTTTGTGGTCTAAACGTGGACACCAGCAATGCGAGCGACAAAAGTGACGCAACTGCACCAAGGCCAGGGCTGCTTTCGAAGCACTTGGGGCACTAGGACTAGGAGCCATGCTGCCACCGGGTTTTGAAATCGTCACTGTCCACAAAAGAAAAGCTGCCGAACAAACAAAGTGGCCGATAGCCAAACACCTCGATTGCTTGGCATGGCTGATCACCTTCATAGCTTGTCATGGTCAAAACATCTATAGCTGTTCTGTCAATTCAGTGAGGCAAAATGCTTTCTCAAGGGTTCTAGTTCTGTGCAACACTCGCTGCCCAGGCCAAATCTTTCTGGGGCCAATGGCTAATTAGTTGTGGCGGACACTCAACCCCACAACAACGTTTGGGGTGAACATCACATCGTGCACGTCCATGAAGGAACCCCTCAATGGATCGGAATTGAAGCCCCAAATGACCAGGATTCAAAAGGCTCAAGGTCAGCACACCGGTCACCCTCCAGCTGAACCCTTTGGGGAAAAAGAACACCAGAGGGTGGCACATCCATCGTGGCACATCCAGACGTTCACTGATTCATCAGACTTCACAACTCAGACTCATCACAATCCCACACTTCCCAGTGCTTAGCACTCACCTCGCAGCACCCTTTTGTGGCGCGCCGAGTCGAAGAGGGCGGGGTGACCTGTTCGGCCCCCCCGCCTTTGGCGGAAGAGATCCCATCGCCGTGCCACGCACCATCCGTCGTTTCCACCGCGGGAAACCCGCCGGGAATGTCTGGGTGAGAAATGAGGGTCGCAGCATGGTCAGCACGTCACTCCATCGATGGTTTGGAGTTCATTTGAGTTCACCATTTAAATATGACTACAAACAATATCAAACAATAACAAACAAAAATAATTCCCAGACATGCCTACATTGACCCCTCAAACCACCCCGTAATGTAGGTAAATCTACTACGGAGTGTCGGGATTGTGTTTTGTTGGCCAATTGCAATGGACTCAAGCGACACCCTCAGGCACACGGGACGCCTGCGGAGATTCTCCAACCACGGAACCACCGGCCGGCCTGTTCAGGAACCTTAGACCTGCATGAAGACCTCAAGCGTCACTCTCAAACAAATGAAACAGAAACAACATGAAACAACAAATAGCATCAAATAACAAGCATTAATTAAACAGCTATATATATATATATGGGACAAACAATGAAGTTGCAAAACCACATTTGGTCTCCTCTCAAGATGGTTCAAACAGCATGAAACTTAGAGAGGATCGAGGAACCATGAGGATCCCATGTCTATCCATCCTGGAATCCCCAGCTCGCCCTGTCGAAACGTGGCACTTTCATCCGGCGCATCGCGTTGTAGTTCGGTCGACTCGAGCGAGTTCGGCCTCTGCTGAAGTGGTCACCAGTTGGGTGATGGAGGTGATGGAGGGGTAGTCGTAGATCAGAGTGACCTCGCTCTCATCCGTGTGCCAACACGTTTCACGTGTGTGGAGTCGAGCCAACAAAGGTTGAAAGGTTGAGACCCTTGAGAGAAGGTGAGACCTTCAAAGGGCGAATCGCATCATATTCTTGTGCCCATGGATTAAATACAATCAAATTGGCAGCTACTGTACGAATCATTCCGACTCCAATTCCAATCTTCATGAAGATCCTTCAACAAAGACATACTCCGAGCTATCGAACGGCACTGCCAACTCGACCTATGTTTCATCCAACGGCCCTTACTGGTCACCCTTTACATCCTCAGGTCATGTGGGGATAGAACCTATGCACAAGCAGGCATTGAGTGCAGTCTTTCATTCTATAGGCGGAGTTGTGTTCCAAGGACACCTGATCTAGGGACAACCATTCTGTGGAATCTACAAACAGCCTTCAGTACTTGGAACTATCATGATTCATGATCGATATTGATCGATATCGCCACATAGATCGGTATGGCCTGCTGGA